TACATGCAGAGAATATTCTGGTTTATTATGTGATTACTTTTTCATGCCTGGCAGTCTGGTCTTTCATCCTAACCAAGTAGATTATCTGAATGCACATGCTACTTCTACACCTTTGGGTAAATCTTCCAGAACTATGTAATCCTCTCTCCAATGTTATGTAGTGGGACACATACTGGTGTTAAGATTTGATCTATGTCACTAACCTCTTAACTCCCCTTCAGGCGATAAAGTAGAAGCCACTGCTATCAGAACTGTGTTCTCTGACCATGCAACCTCAGGTGCTTTGACCTTTTCATCCACAAAGGTAATTTTTTTTTTTTTTGACTCAATTGCTTTCTGGCAATATAGGAAAAGAATTTTGTGGTACACCTTCTGTCCAATAAATCTTCAGCTGATGACTGTTGATCTCAGATTTGTTAGTAACTGGAAATTAACTTGCTTGATAGTCTGTGTTGATCCTTCAATTAATACTTCCATATGATATGGATGAGTATGATGTACTGCAAAGATGATGATAAAAGTTCAAAGGAATGAAAGAACATCTCAATCATATTATTGTTAACTGATGCATACTTATTTTTATGAAACCTTAAGATACCTCTTCCTGCATTCTTCCTCTACCAAAGTATGACTTCTCTTGGGAGTTCAAAATCAGTAAGTCTCCCATCTTATAAATTAACCTAATTTAATAATAATGAAAAACAGCAGAGGCAGAAAGGATATGGGAAAGAAAGGAACCATCTGCCCTCTTCAGGGATATGCTGTCGGTTTGCTATTATTGTTTTAAGTGCATCCCTGCATGCACAAACAGATAATTAAATCTCTTCTAAAATGATGCGGCAACAAATTATTACTACAATGTGCACTCTGCATGGGTAATTTATGGGTGGGATGGTAAGAGTTTCACTAGGTGGATGCCAGCCTGCAACATCATTTTGTTCAAAAAATACTCCAAATAGAGAAAACATGAATTCATTGATATGTTGTGAATTAGTTATTCTTTTGATTTTCATTTGCAAGCTTTCTCAATCCAAATTAAAATTAAGTGCGCTATCGGTCATCTCCTAGGAGCAGCTGGAGCTGTTGAAGCAATTTTTACTGTTTTAGCCATGCATCATGTAAGACATTTTGAAGAATCATCTACTTTATATTCCGCTAAAGAACTTTCAAATAGTTATTAATGGCACAAGACTTTTCAGAAAGCTCACTAGAAAGCTCACTAGAAAACTATACTAACGTGAGTGAAGTTGTGAAGGTGTGCGTGTTTATGTGCCTGATTTTATTAGCTGCCTTCCTTTCTCATAATAATTATGTGGAACTTAGCGGAAAACCCGGAATTTAGGTCATGTTTGGTTCAATGGATATTCTCTGATAAAAATATGACAATAAGGTTAAGTGGAAGAGATTAACCATAAGCGATGGATTCCATGCTTGCATCTTTTTTCTCTTAATAAGATGGGATTAGCTATTACCACTTCTCCCTAAGTTTTAGTTATTCTTGTCCTATTACCACTTAATTAGTAAAAAAAAAAAAACAGGAAAAAAGGGAAGGCAGAAGCGTGGAAATGGAATAGCGATTCCCAGCCTAGTTTGCCACTTTCTTGCTCACTTCACCTTCTTTTCATAAAAAATCAATGTAATAACCATTCCATTAAACTAAACATGACTTTAGTGTGGCCTGCGCCCTGCTTTCTGTTGAGTGGCTAATGTGCCTGCTTCTAAAAGTAAAAGGAAAAAGAGAACTTATCTCTTAGAAGTCTTGGTGCCTGACTTTCGGAATTTTTACTTCTAACGAAGTTAATAGTTTTTGTTTTCATTTTTTCCTCTTTTTTTTCCCGGTATATTATTGTAGGGAGTTGCACCTTTAACGCTTAATGTCAATGAACCAGATCCCACTTTTGATGACGCTTTCTTGCCTTTGATTGCTTCAAAAAGATGCCGGTGAGAGTGGCCTTGTCCATCTCGTTTGGTTTTGGAGGAACTAACACATCCTTGCTTTTTGCTTCTCCCTCAAGAAATGGAATGGATTAAATATTGTATTTTCCTGCTCTAGTTCAGAATTAGAAGCATCATATTATTTCTGGGGGTTGGATGACAACCTGCATTACAATCACAGTTACAAGACAGCCATTTGATTGGCTATCTTGGAAAATTTTGGTATTTTTATGCTCTTTTTTTGTTAGTAACATCATTGAAACTTCTAACATTCGGATTTGTTGGGCTTAAGAAAGCCAAGTTGACTACCAATTATTGGTAGCTTGAGCTGTAGATAATTGGGGGGCTTATTGCCCTAATTATTTTTTAATGTGAATCGATAGCTTGTGTTAAGATTGGACAAATATTGGTAACATCATATAGAATGCGTTCCCCAGGGATGAAGAAGAACAAGTACAAGGGATTAAGTTTCAGCCAAAGAAAAAAACGGAAAAAGAAAAAGTACAGAGGATTAAGAAAATAATCACAAGCAAGAGACATAGTTCATCGAACTAGAAACGCAAATGGAAAAACCTAGCTTTTTTACACAAAACACCTCAGCCCCACAAATCTTGCCCCACCAAGTCTTCCAATGTTATCATGGAGAAGGGCTTTGGCAATGGAGGCCACTCACTAGTAAGGGCCTGAGAAACTTGTCGCATGGTTGGTCGATCTTGAGGATTGGCTTGCAAGCATACAAGTGCTAGCCTCACGGTGGAGGCCACATGCACGGTTGCCTCACCGGTTGGAACTAATAGTCTTTGGTCTATTAAATCTTTGATCAACATTTGCCGCCAGTTTGGTGGTGTTGAAGACGGTAATGGTGCCAGTTGCGATAATAAAGCAGATATCAAATCACTTGGATGTCTTCCCATGAGTACTTCCATTGTGACAACACCAAAGCTATAAACATCACATTTTTCATTCACTTCCATTGTGTAAGCCAGCTCTGTAGTAAGAAGCAAAGTCATAAGAACAACACTAATCAAATTTCCCTAGATGATGTTAAGCAACAAAGTTTGTTACCTGGAGCAATGTAGCCAAAGGTACCAGCAACTAAGGACCGGACGGAGGAGTCAGGCTTCAAAATCCGAGCAGTGCCAAAGTCAGAGACATGAGCCTCATACTCTAAATCCAATAAAACATTGTTGCTACTAATATCCCGGTGAATTATAGGGGTTGAGCATTCATGGTGCATGTAACACAATGCATTGG